TCTCAACCTCAGCAACTTTAAGATGTGTGAACTTCAACTCCCAGAATTCCCCAGCCAGCATCATCCAGTCAACCATCATCCATACAACCAGGAGATGGGCTCTAATGCACGCCCATATGCATGGGTTATGCAACCAATTCTTAACATGAGAGAAGGAAGTTTGAGGATTATTTGACTAAGGCATGTTATCACTTTCCTTTAACAAATACTTTTTGGGGGGGGTTATATTTTGTTGGATATTTTCCAAATACACATCAATTAGCTATCATTCTTCCATGAAGTCTTTGGTGTGCTATTTGTTGTTTGTGCTTACCAAGAATATTGGTCTGAACTAAATACCCCACAATTACTTCGAGTGCTAATGCTCAGGACTTTAACATAAAAATAGCACAAGATTTTTCTTTAAAAAAAAAATCTGTGTTCCCCATTGCTCCATTCATAGCATTCTTTTTTATTTCTGGAGATGCTGCTTAGGGAAGAGATTAATAAGATATCCCCTTTGCTCTGTTAACCCAGTGTTTTCTACCTGGCATGTTACAGTTCCCATCATGCTTAGCTAGAATGGCCAATGCAAATGAATGCTGTACTTAGTATATTCAGAGGGTACCAGTTCATTGTCAGCATTAATCCAATAACATAAAGATCATATTTTGAACACTTCTTGAGATACTTGCTTTCCTGGTATTGTGTGCCTGATTCCCAGCTAGCTTCTAAATGATTGGAGAAAAGTGAGAATGGGAAACAACTAGATGGAAGAAACAGGCCCTTGAATCTAATATTGTCATGAATTGCTTAGAGCTCTGTGTGGCTCTAGGTAGCCTTCAAGGGAAGGGCAGGCAGTTTGCTTTAATGGCGTAGAGCTGTCTATGGGCATAACTTTCTTTCAAGTTTAAATGTTGCAAAAGGCTTTGGAATTATCGTGGTCTCTTTCTTTGAAATCTCTGAACAATTGATTACTTAAGAGCATGAGTTCTGTCTTGTACCTCTCTTTGGCTTAACAGTATGACATTGCAGAATGAGAAGGGAAAAGGTGGTTCACTGATGAATAGTTTCTGGTTCTCAGACTTGAGTTTATTTAGTGGCTATTGGAGAGTTCTTGTCTGCATTACTTCACACAGCATGCACGCAACCTAGAGTTAACTTGCTTATGTAAACTCAGACAAGGGGAGTTAATCTGTTACTAACATTCTACCTCCTTTTCTGGCCTCTGGATGTAGGAAAGCGAAGGAGTGTCACAAAATGGATCTGATGCAAATTGTAGATGCTGTTTGCTCTATTTTCACACACACACAACCCGGCAACCTTGCTGATCCACAGGGAGGGATTGCAAAATGGGGACAGCAGGGATAATGAAAGTAGCTCAGGCACTCTGTGTGCTGGGAAGCTCTGACTCTGAGCTTCTTTTTTTTTTTTAACTTCTTTTTTTTTTTTTTTTACTGAAGTATCAAAAATGCTAATCAAATCAGAAAAATGGGATGCTGGCCAACATTGGGGGAGTTGTGTGAATTGTGGCTCACTGTAGAAGCAATAAATAAGGGCCTTCTTCATACTTAACACCAACCTGGCATACCACATTACATAATGAGATTCTTTTACTGTATTTTCACATTGTATTTGCCCAGGCTTTTGGTTAAGCATGGAACACATCTTATAACAGCTGCTGATTCCTTCTCCTAGGTGTAGGGTTTACTGCAGTTTTTCCCAGCTTTTTTCACTCTCCAGATGTTTGAGTGATAGCTCTGAGAATTCTCAGCAAAGGGGAATTGGAGGAGTTGGCCCATACATTTGGAAAGCATACAGATTGTAGAAAGCTGGTTTCATGTATTGTCTGAGAGTTTATACCATGTACAGTCTCAGCCAACCAGAGAATCTAGTCATGGGTTGTGGTAGAATTATTTATGGTTATGTTTTCTGGCTGATTGAGTCTGGAAGTAATATATGTCCTGCATTGTACACTAAGCTGTACACTAACCAAATATGGCTGTTTGTTAGTTATACTGGTTGGAAGTGCGGGTGGGAGAAAGAAGGAAGAATTGGCACTAGCAAGCAAATGCACTCCTACTTAACCATAAGCCTAAATAAACATGACATGAGAACTGGCCCTCATATACCCAAATCTGCAATATGGGAACTTTCTCTAACAGAGGTGTTATATAGGCTACTGAGATAATCTAGATGCATTTCTTTATACTCTCAAGAGCTGTATAAATGCTCAGCATTAGTATTTGGAATCCCTGTAGCTGTCACATTTAATGCAAGCTGAACTTATGTCTCAAGATCTGGCTCGGGATTTGGGAAAATAGCAGAAACTGGGCATAATATTGCTCTGATATCCACCTTCTTTTTCTTTTTTTCTTTTTTCTTTTTGTTTGTTACCCCCTTTACAACATTCTCCTGGTTTGGTTCTGTTGCCATTCCACCCCCCTTCCTCCCCCCCACCATGTTTCCTTTCTTGTAATTTTAGCTGTTGTGTTTTTGAACCACTGTTGATGAAGGGCCTCTCTGTGGCTTCTTCTCTTATGCATTTACCCCTGTGTTTCAACGGTGATGACTTTGGTGTTGGAATAGCCCTTCCTCTTGAAGTCCATGTTTAAGCTAGCTCTTTTAAAATGTTTGTGTTTTATATATGTACATATAATCTATTGTACTGTATCTGTTATGGTAACAGTGTCGACATCAGTTGAGTTAGTAAATTCTGGAACATTAATAAACATTCCAGTTGGTTTTCAAATCAGGTTACTTCATATAAGAAACGGAATGCTGCCGTTCTGACTGGAATGAAAGTTTCTAAAGGGACCTTGGGGCTGAGAGCAGCGTTTTCTAAGGAAGCTTCCTCACTGTAAGCATTGCCACCCCACAAACACTTTACATCCATGTAACAGATCTTGGAGTGGCTCAAAACCATCTGAACTGCAGTTGCTGCCAGAATAGCAAGAGCCAGACTGTTCTCCCAATCAATGAGAGAGCATAGATTTCAGTTCTCAGTAAGATCTCTGCCTGTTCCTGTCCATGTTTCAATATTTTGCTCTTGATGAGAAAATGAAAAAACTGATCTAGTTCAGAAAAGACCTGTAATGGAGCACATGAGCAAATGGTGCTACACTGATTTCATAGCCAAGGGGAGAGGAGACAGCCACAGAGCTGGGGAGGGGTGGTGGTGGAGATCAGTAAGAGTTTCCACTAGAAGAAAAGAATCCCCACCACATAGAATTCAGGCAGTTCAAATCACAAAAAGGAAATTTAGCAATTCAAACGTTTTGGATACGTCAAGCTGTAAGAAAATCTGCTTTCTTTCCCTTTGGGGGCACTCATGTGGGAACTTCAGGAGTGGCACCACAGCTTTATGTAGAAGTGCTCTAAGAAAATCGGGAACTCTGGTAAGAGGTCCCAGGAAGTAGGAAGTAAAGATCAGAGATGTGCAAAAAGGGGTGGGTGGTTAGGCTAATATTTGGAAACAAATATGACATCTTTTAAGTGTGGATTTGCAGGTATGTAGGTATTCTAGGACTCTGAACAAACACTGTGAGTCAGGAAAAATAAAATTGTACATTGTTTGGAGGGGGAAAAGATCAAAGTATGCTAACCATTAAGGCAGTTTTTAAAAAACTTTGCAATACTACAACCGCTTAAAATGGTAAATTAATTTATGCACCCCCCCAATCAATAAAAGTCATGATTTCATTACAGTTGGGCAAGAAATAAGTATATCACTTATTTATACATATTAGATTTTAACAAATTGTTTCTGCCCATATGCTAAGATCTGGCTGGATCACATGCTCCAGGCTCAATCAGCAAAGCTTCCTGCCAGATGAAACTGCTTGATTGATGTGTAATGGGATGTGAGAATAACCTTGAGGAACAGGAGGAAGAGCCGCAACCAAGGCAACGGTCAGATAAGAGAAATTTGAGTCCAAAGCAGAAATGTAATTTGAGAAAACATCTCAGACTGGACCCTCCTAGTTCTCTTGTAAATAAAGGCGGAGGGGGGAGGCACTTTCAGACTTGCAAGATTCTGTTACTGCTACCCTATAATAAAAGTAGTTTTACTATTCATAACTTTGATTTCCAAGTCTGGTGTACCTGGAAGACCTGACAGATGGGACCCAAAGCATGCCCACTCTGTCTAATCTCACCAGATGGGCAGAAACAACCAGAAACAGATGGTCCATCATATAACCAGGTCCCTATGCCATGATAACCAGCACCTTGAATTGTACCCAGAAGCCAACTGCAACTCACAGAGCAATGGGGTCACAAGGGCATAACAAGGCATGTCCGTGCCCTAGCTGTTGCATTCTGCAACAGCTGTAGCTTCCAAGTGGTCTTCAGGGGTGGCCCCATGTAGTCCATATTACAGTAATCCATTTGTGAGGCGACTAAAGCGTTAGTGACTGAAGGACCTCTTGGTCCAGGAAAGGGTACACCTGGCTCATTTTTGACATTAACAGATTTTAATGGACAAAGGTAAAAAAAAGTAAAATAAATAAATATTAAAAAGTTAATTTCAAAATAATGTGCTATAACATTTA